AAATATATTTTCAAGTGCTATCAGTCAGATTTTTGGCAAGAGAGCGATTATAGATGTGGGCAGAACAGCAGTTTCCATCATTATTATGTGACCTGCCTACAAACAGATTTTTACATAACAAAAAAGAAACCAGTTTACAGCCAAATGAATGCACTCATTAACTGTAATAATGTTAGCTATAGCTTGAAAGGGACTTCAGAGAAAAATAAATCAGCTCAACTGATTCCAAGACCCTGCTGCATTTTCAACATAGAAAATAAGTGGAACAGTTCGCAAAAGGGAGTCTATTTTTATTGTACATATGTCTCTTAGTATTTTGTCTAATCTTGGAAATAGAGGTTTAGAATGTGTGCTGAATTTTCCAGGTGGTTTTCACAGGAATTCTGAAGCTATGTTTGCATGCTCACAGATACTATCTCACAACATTTTACTGATCATAATTTGTCCAAGAGCTGAAAACTTTTCTTCAGTAGACTGAATCATGTAATCACTAGACATCTCTGCAGCTTTCTATGCTCTAAAGAACTGATGTAAAAAGACAGGGCACCAGGTAAAATGGGGAGGAACTTCTGCAGGTACATCACCTCCAGCTGGTGTTCTGGATGTCCACCAGTTTGCGGTTGTAGTCGGTTTAGCATTAGACCTCTCCCTGCTAACATCTCCCACCCAGGACTGGCAGCAGCCTAGAGGAGACAACTCCACCATCCTGGTTAGTTAGTTAGTTAATTAGTTAGTTAGTTAGTTAATTAGTTCCCAAGAAATCTTTATGTCTTGATAGTATATTCTTAATAATACAGGATAGATCTTGATAGTGTATACCTGATACCTTGATAGCTTATCAAGGACAACCTTTTTTTTTAAAGTGAGCAGCTAATGAAAATATCACTGATAGTCAAAAAAATAATATTTCCCACTCATTGTTCCTTAATTTATTAGTACAATAAAATTAAAATTAGTTGATTGTCAAATATTCACAAAATAGAGACTGAAACAGGTTGCAGTAGTTTCAGGGACTGTCAATTTGCACAGCGTATCTGTTTGTTCTGCCCCTCTTGTATTATCCAACATACACTCTTGCTAAATTTTGAAGCAGACTGTAGTTAATGGTCTTCAAATCACAGGTTGTGTGTTGTTTTCTATAATTTGATTCTCACAACAGCAAAGTTCCAATTCTATCAGGATAATGCATGGAATGAAACAAAACCACAACAGGCGTTGGCATTGTTCAGGAGTACTTAAATCTGAAGTTGTCCTTGAAGGATATTGTGGTACTGAATGGAAAAAGAGTCCATTATAATATTTATATAATCTCTATCTCAGCACAGGATTTTCTAGTTTGAACTTTTTTTAGTCCAGCTGTCCCTAAAAAGTGGCAGAATTTCCCCACTTCATTGAAAGGCTTCTCAAGAATCTGAAAACATTCATTGAAATCAATATTATAAACCCTATAACTGAGATTTAAGAAGTGTCTTAAACAATGTAAAATATCTGCAATATTCAAAAATTAAATCTGTGTCTATTTAGTGTTTAGGTATGTCAGGTTGGGCAAATAATTTTGTAGTTGTTCAAATAGGATACCTTATCATTGGCTCATTAGTTTTGGAGTTTCATTTCTCATGACAAAGATAATTTGGGCTATGGAAGTCACAAGTCTTACATATAGGGCCAATATTACAGAATTGGTGTTATGAATATTCAAAACTGAGCAATTGGCCTTAAACTGCCAGACCTGTGTTTACTTCAGACTGTCAACCATAATGTCCAAATTAGGGAATGTAGAATTTCTTTTCTGTTTCAAAACCTCAAAGGATTATCTTGATTATACTGAGATAGAATTATTTGGGGATTAGATGTAAAAACCTTCCTTTCACCCAACAAAAGAGAGATAAAACAGTTGCATTTTCATTTAAAGTAATTTTGACCCAGTGCACAGTTCTGCCTACCGTGATTGCATCATTGGAATTAGCTGTGTATAGCCTAACACATCATTTAGCCTAAATAAATTTCTCTTTCTTGTTGCATCCCATAGCAACTACAGTGAGAGAAAAAATGCAATAATGAATAAATAACTAGGCCAAAACATTACAAGAACTTGGGGGAGCTGTGAAGGAGAATTATTGTTTTAACTTTCTTTGCATTTTTGTCTAACCTGCTGGGTTTTACAGAATCATCATTCCCAGACAAATGCCAAATCTCAACAACTATTAATGCATAGTGGATGTCAAGAAGTCAGATATCCTACTGCCATTCCTTCACCAAGGCAGGGACATTTATATCAGATGGATGCTTGTCTGTCTTGCTCTCTGACACCCCTAAGAGTCTTCACTAAGTTATTCTAGTTCCTCATTTTCTTTGCTGTGAGGAAAATTTCCTGGTGTCTGAGTCATTCTCTTTCAGTTTAAGTTCTGAGCGCTTATCTCAAAATGATAAACAATTTGTGATGCTTTTGACGTACTTGAGGACAAATAGCACATGTCTTCCCTTGTATTGTATTTGGTTCTTTAGTCTATCAATCTTCAGCTCATTCAGTCATGTCTGTTTTCTAGATCATCTCACTTTTTGGTTCACCCTTCATCTCTGAAACTGACAACTAGATTTTTAAAATATTCATTCCATCCTGTATCCACTTTCACCAATTTTGGGATAGGAGTTTAACATTTTCTTTGCCACACTGTCCATCTAAGGCTTTGTGATCTCAACATCGTCATCTGTACAATACACAGTTTGAGTAGGTTTTATAGAATATTCCTAAACACCTTTTTTAGAAGCTAAGCCAAAATACTTATTTGAATGAGAAGCAGCTCTGCTGAATTAAGAAGCTCTCCTGCAGAAAAGATGAGAAGGAGGGTTATGTAATTGTCATTAAAAAGTTGTCATTTACATATTTTTTTTAATAATTTAAAGGTATAAAATGGTATCTCTGTTGAAAATCTTCTTAGAATGATAGCTAATCATAAAATAATTCTGTAAATTTATAGCACCTTGCTGGCTTAGATCTACAAAACTGCTCTTTTGAAAATTATAAAGAAATTAATTACAAGAAAACAGGCTTTTTTTCTAGGCTTTCTATGAGACAGCTCATAAAGCTGGGATACTGACAGCATGGTTTTAATTCTTTCATATTCTACCCAGTTTAAAAAATAAATCCCACACTACAAAACCTATCACTTCCTGCATTCAAAAACTTGTCAGGTTTCATGAGGGTGGATAAAATTGCTTTAAAAACTTGCCAAAGAACAAGATGAATCTTTTAGAGGAAAGGTTAAATCAGTAATAAATTTAAAACACCTTCTGTGGCTTTTATCACAAAATAACCCATAATGGGTTTTAACTCTTCCCAGTAAACATTCCTGGTGGAAGTGGTTTGACTTACTTGAGCCTCTTGAGTGAAGTTGGTAACATCAACACCTGTGTTAATCCCTAAACTGGAAGGTAAATTTTCCAAGTGTTTTACTCAAGCTGAACAGCAGTGCTCATCTTTCTGCATTTATGAACGCATATTTTACTTTTCTGTTCTGAGTAAATCAGTGCATTTGAAATCTGAAGCACGTTTAATGGTTCTTCCATTCTGATTCCAGACACTGGATATTTTTTCCCCCTGGTGAAGCTGCTATTTCCTGATGTTGCAGCTGTGCTAGGAAGGCGTAGTCAAGAGCCCAGGCTCTGCTGAAAGAGTGCCTTGTGCAGGAGCCCCTCACTGAGGGCCTTTGCTCTGTGTGAGGACAGCTGAATGCACAGCATAAGGAATGCACTGGGGACCAGGTGTCTGCAGCAGGATTCCTGCCTGCTCTGGAGTACAGAAGAAAAGTTTAAGACAGGCAGTGAATGATCAAAAGAGAACAGCAAATTCAAACACAAAAAGTGTACATCACTTAAAGTATGACTAACTTACAGAAGGGCTACCTTTAAACAAATCATGAAGATTTAAAATAAGACAAGTTGAGCTAATTTTTTATCCATCAATTATTCAACTTTTAGGATCTAAAGGTACTCTCTATAGACAACATCAGTGACTTTTTAGAAGCAGGGGGAAATGCTAATCTGAGATTCTTCTCCAAGTCTCTTTTGAAAAATTGAAATATCACATTCATGATAAAAGGGAAGAAATCTGAAAGGCTCTAATGAAATATGTACACTTTTAGGGTTGAGTGAAACTTCATAAATGCCAGTACTTCCAGGAAAATCCATTGTGAAAATGAGGAGAGGGGAAATTACCCTGAATGTTTGTGACATTTTGTTTGAGTGGGGTTTTCAGTTGCTTCTGTCTCCTTGTGGTTTGAATGTTGCAAGCTGAAAGGTTAACAGAAGGGGATTAAAATTCTGTGTGCACTACAGTATCACAGAACTCCATAAAGCTCCAGCCGCAAGCAACCAAGAAATAGGAGCAACACCTGGATCTGCATAATGCTCTGCCCAGCTTCATTAACCGTGTCTGCAGAGGATTAATTGCTTCAGATGCAATGCCATGTTGTCTCTGTGCTGGTGTTTCTGCTTGAGCAGTGCCAGCCCATTCAAGGCTTGCTTCTGGCTCTTTGTGCCGTGCTTCATCCAGAAGTATGGACACAGTCTGCAATAGAGTGCTGCCCTTTGCACAGTGAGAAGTCCTGTCCTCAAAGTCACTTTCTCTCAAGTAAGAGTAGTATCAACCCAGTGTCAGAGAAACACTGAACCCAAGGTTTTCTCCCCACAATGAGGTTGGTTGATGCAGAGATGCCCTTATACACAGCAGATTTCAGGATCTGTGATTTTTAACATTGTTTCAATTACCTGACATGGAGAATGTGGAATAGATAATTTAAGTAGAAGGGGCTGATGTCAAGCAAATGTAAGTAAAACACTGAATTCTTCCTCTAGAAGAATTACAGGTGCTTTACAAGACTTCAGCCAGAGCCACAACTGCTAGTGTGTGTTCTCTTAGGCTGTGATTTTCAGTGTTAAGGGAGCTCTCTTCTCATTCCTTTGAATGGCCAATGTTGTGTCCCTCTCCTTTACCCCCGTAGTGACGGCTGGGCAGACAGGTATGACGTGACAGAAGGGTACCAGAACGAAGCTGTTGGTGGGATAACGATCAAGCTGCAGTCCCCAGACGTGAAATGGTTCGATGATTACTACCTACAGCTCCGGCCAGAAACCAATCATCGGAATCCATGGTTTCAGGAATTTTGGCAGCACAGGTTCCAGTGCCGGTTGGAAGGGTTTCCCCAAGAGAACCCTAAATACAACAAGACCTGCACAAGTAAGTGAATTTATTACTTCTGCTGAGTGAAACAATGTGAATGAAGGTCTGGTCTGATGCAGCATGGCCTGGTGAAATAGTGAGTTGGATTGGAAAGAAATGAAGCTGCAATTGCAATGCTTGTAGTTTTCAAAATGATAAAAAAGCACAATTTTAAGTGTTGAGATTTCTAAGAAACAGATAGAGCTTCACTGCCTAACTGCTGTATTTGAAATCTCCATGCTACTCCACCTCCATAGGCATGTAAACACTTTAAAAAATACTGCAACACAAAATTAAATGTGCCTTTTCAGAAAAAGAGCTAATCATATTGCTTTGGGTCACAAAAGCAATGAGAGAGCTAATATACTACAACTTATCTGAAGCCCATATGGCAGTAATGATTATTTATGAACTTCATATAAAACACTAGGTGACTTGAAAGATATCATTAGGTTTTCTTTCAGCCATGGGTCATTTCAGGATATGCCATTTTGAGCTGATTATTTTCATTCAATTGTACTAATTTTAGCAAAAACTCCTACAACATTTTGTCATTTCTGTACTGCAGATAGATGTGGTACATTTTTTCTGGGGCTTTGTTGGGGTTTTATATTATTTATTACTTCTGTTAATTGCTCTTTGTTTCATGAGATACCAGGCACTCTCTAGGCTGTGAGCAGGCACCCATGTCTTGCATTCCAAAGGGCATGGGGACCTGTGGCACCAGTCAAATGACAAGAGGGAAAGCAGAAACCAATGACCCAGTGCCCTAGCAACAAGACCCCAGACTACCTGGAAAGGATCCTTTATTCAGACTCAGAATCCCAGAGTCCTTCCTTTGAGGCTAGGATTCTTTCACAGGCTTCTTCTCATTCTCTGTAATTCTCCGGGCAAATTTTTAACTATTTCTGACCCTCGAGATATCATTAATACCATGGGTGTTCTGGCAGTATTGAGGATAATGTGGTGCTGTGCTGGGCATTAGTCCAACCACAGGTCTAAAACCCAAGGATTCTTCACTTCTAAAAATGTGACTATCTTCCACACACCCATGAGGCTGAGAAATGTCTTAAAGGATCAGAGTCTTGGATTTGCACAGCACAAACCCCTTCCTAAATCCCACTTAATGATCTTAAAGTCTTCCTTTTGACTTGGACATGGTCTCAGAGGAAGTTTGTAAGTGAGATGTAAATTGAATCTAGGAATCCCAAAATCTCAATGTACACTTTCCACATTCAACTCACTTTTCCCTATTATTTTTGTTCTGTTCCCTTCCAACACAGTTTGAGACAGGTTTTATTTGCACTATTGACAGGTACTGCATATTGAGCAGCACACTTTATTGATTTCCCCATGATAATGTGGACTTGTTTCTTGAGATGTCAATGCAATGGGCATAGCTGGATGCAGGCTAATAAAGACCTGGTTTCCATCAGTATGCCATGTAAAAAACATTTCAATTTGACTTCTGTTGGTTTCTTTTTTAGCTTACCTTTTACCAACAATGTGAATATCTAATTTATGTTTTATGTGAAATATTGGGAACTATGAATTGTAAGTGCCTAAGGAGTCTTTTATGGCATCTAAAATAAAATTCACCACCACAGAAAAACTGTCATGGGGGTACAGGAAGAAGTTATTTTATATACTAATTCACCAGTCATGGATATAAGACAACTTCATTATTAAGCTTGAATTGTTTGGTGGGAAAAGCACTCATGGCTGGAAGATTTCACACAAAGAACCACAGATCAAATAGGTTCCTAAAACCTAGGAATGTCAAAGACACAAAAAAAAGGAGCAAAAATTCAAATAATCTGATTTGCAAATCATGAATAGAGAAGATGAGCAATCTAAATAGATTGCTCTATTTTCTTTTCTCTAGTTTTGTTGTAATATTCTATGCTGGACCATAATGTGTATAGTAAAATAATTAAACCTAGATTGCAAAAGCTTTAATTCTTTCTTGTTACTGTAAAGTAAAAATGCTAATTGTAGTTGTAGAATTTCCTATGGATTAACCAGCAAGAAAAACATAAATGTATTCACTGAGAATTGCAAGAGGGAGAAATTCTGATGCTGTGACTTTAAGATCAAAATTACCATGAATATTTGAAGTTGGCATGATAGTTGTTGTTTCTGCCTCATTTTCTATCACCTACACAAATTTGAAAATTATGTATTTTCAATTGTTATATTACTATTTTTTTATTTTCAACAGTCAAAATAGTGAGTCGTAAATTCCCTCAGTTCAGACTTCACAATTGTAAAGATTATACTTGTCCTCAGTGGTCATAATTGTTTCACAGACTGTCCTAACAGTTTCTGCATGCTGAGGAATTAGTTTTGGTTCTGATTTCACCTGGTAAGAAAACAGGACTATGTCCTTTATTTTATCTAACTAAATACATGCTGTTCTCCAGAAGCTGAATTAAAAGAAAAATATTAAAAAATCCAAACACACTAAAAAGTTAAACTACAGGTGTTTCTTAGGATTACAATTAATAAAATTAAGTTTGTTGAGAAATGCCAGAGAAAAATCAAAACCTTTCCATCAAATGTCAAGCAATTCTTTACTTTTTGGAATAAAGATAAAAAGACAAACATAGAGCTGATGTTAATAGTCAAGGTCATTATTAAATGAATGTGTCTATATAAAAGGCAATAACCATTATATTAGTGGGAAACAAAATTAATTGTTCTTTGTAATCCAGTTGTGTTGCCACAAAAACATAAAAAAATGGTTAACAGTATAGTCAAGTTTATTCAGTAAGAAAGTAAACACAGGAAGATATGGCTGAAATCTAAGTAACAACTGACTTCATCTATGAACCAGCTATGAATTTAGTTGTTAAAATCTCTTAATTTGCTTTGATTAATCCTGCCTAGTAGAATATTAGGCTACATTTATCCTTGTGATGCAAAATACGTAAAGCCATAAACCATTGTAATCATCTCCAGTGACTTATAAGTATTTTCTCACTTTTTAACATAAGATATTCATAGACAGTTTCAGGGCAGGTATTATTATTAATGAATACATGATTCAGTATGATATGTATAATCAAATTATGAAATCAGCCGAACAAAGAGAATCCAAAAAACAATAAAGTTCTTTTCTCCATTCATTTCTATTAAGCACTAAAAAGTTTCCATTCCTTCACATAAACTTAGTTCATATTGAGATAAGAATTTCAGCATCCAGCTCATTTTTCATTTGCAGATTAGAACATACTTGCTTAATTCAAATGGGTGTCACTGCTATTGCTGCTAAGAACATTGATTTTCTGCCCAGCTGGAGCACTACAGAAAGTGAGAAGTTCACAGACTTATCTGACTTGATTTTCAGTGTAATCAGTTCCGTGACACAGGACAGCTGCTACAAGCCACCTCTGAAGAACAAGAGTCAGAACAAAGAATGTAAAATGCATGTGTAAAAGGAGACAATTTAATGACCTCCAAACCTTAGGGATTTTACAAGATTTGGGGTTGGTTTCACCTCTAGCACCAGTCAGAGATTTTTTTAATATATAAGACCATAATTCAAAGAAATTCATAAGTAGGTGTGCAAGCTGATCCAGATGAGTAATTCCACTCAATGACCAGTTTCAGGTCTCAAAAGGCTAATCTAATCCCTTGGCATTGATTGCCTTTAGACCTTTGAAGATGAGACGTTTATGTGATTGCTTTCTTTCAGACAGAGTTCCCACCAGACCTCTAATTCCTAGTACCTCTTCATCCTGGTGAGGGTGTTTTAAAAAAATGCATATTAACACCAAGCAGAAACAAAACCCATCATAAATTAATTATGTGGTGAAGCTCTGTCTCAATGGACAGTACTGGAAAAAGACAAGTCCTCAAAGTCACCAGGGGTAGAAGCATATTTATTACATTTACCAGTCCATTAAATTATTTATTTTGCCTGCATTGTGGTTGATATTATTTTTCCCATGCTGTGCAAAAGCTGGAGGTGTGGATGGAACAGCATTATTTATGGTGATACTCAAACACAGAATACACATTCCAAGTACCTGTGATCTAAGTCATAGACAATAAAGAGTAAATAAATAGAGGCTGATGCTGCTGAAGCAATGCAGTATCTTACATTGATTGGCAGAGGCTACAGACTTAAGACAAAAATAGCAGTTTCATGTAAAGGAACAGTGGGAACAAGAATCTGGAGGGAGGTGATAGGTCACTTGTGCAGGTACTTACAGCAGGGTACTGACACTAAATCCTGTGGTTCCAAGTAGTGAAGTAGAAAACAAAGGGAAATTATGGGGCTTGGGTCATCACAGACAAAGGTCAGCCACAAACAAGACATAGAGGGCACTAAAAGTGAGGAAAGCAGCCATGGCTCAGTCTGCCATGGCTCGGAGCAAGGACCCTGCAACAGCGTTTATAGGGAACAACACACAGTGATGTACAGGTGTCCTGGTTACAGCTCCCAGGAAAAAGAGATTTGCACCAGCATTTTGAATGCATCTTAGAAGGGTACAAAAATCCCAAATTCCATTCATGATTTAACCATGTGGCTTCTCTGAGATAAAAGTGCTTTTTCTGAGGGTGTAAAAATTCTCATAAAAGAAGGATAGCCAATGTATCTCCAAGCAATTTAGAAGAGGATTAAGAATGAATGAGTTTATTTGCAGAAAGGGAGATTAGGGAAATTTGGGATAAACACAAGAAAAGTTTTTCTGCTTAAGGTAGAAATGTGCACATAAAATGAAAGTGCAAAAAAATACCTACCCATTTGCTGAATCTCATCCAGTTCCAGCTATTTTTAATGAGTACAAAAGGACAGCCAGAAAGTCCACGGTTTCAGATGAAGAGAAATTTGGTTTAACAAATGTCCCTTTTGGATTTCCAGATAGAATGAAGGAATAAAACATGACTGTCTAGTCTTTTGCACTGCAACATGCAAATCTGTTGATTAAATGCAGGCTCTAAGGCCAAAATTGGTTTAATCAGAACTCAGCCAACAAAATATAAATGCTGTCCAAACAGAAAGGTATTTT